TTCCTTAATTTTTATTTTTTATTATTAATCTTTCTTAATTTCCACCTAACCAATCCTCCAACCATGGTTTTTTTCTTTTCCTCCATCAATTTCTTCATTTTTGAAAAAAGTAATTAAAAAAAGCAATTGCACCACTAATAAGGATATTAAATGGAGTGCGTTTTCTGAAATTTGCTGGTCTCTAGGTTTGGAAATAGTAGTTTAGAATCACCATAGTAAGTTTGTTCAACTTTGAAAACAAATTATTTTTAAAGTTCTCGCTGCTAAAACGCTTATTTCATGAAGGTTTACAAGTTTAGTATTGTCACATCTTATTGGAAATTTAACGTAGTTTTGAATAGTATCAACGGATTTGTCTAAAACCTGTTAGTTTGGGAGTTATCATTGTTTATTTGAAGCAAGGTCGTGAAATCTTAAAAAATCAGAAAATGTGAAATTACATCGAAACTGTTGAGATTGGGACCGTAGTTAATTAGGACTTTTTGGTTCCACTTTGAATGTAGAACCTACGGGAAAAGTTTGTAACACGAGTAGCCGAACACCCTGTATACGTATAGATAGATGTATTAAACAAATTACATTAAACATCAAACATTCCAATGGCTTATTTGTGATCAATGGAATTTTTAAAATAAAAATTTAAAATCCTGAAAGGGAAATAAACTAGATTCCATATTGATGAAGTATTGAAGTACCGTACCATCTCTTGTCTTGACAGTTTATACAGAATTCTTCAAACAAAATTCATTTCGTCTTGAATTGCAGGTTTGTTATAGCCTCAAAGAAACCGCAGGGCGAGTGAAAGGTTTTTCCCTCTGACCGATTGTTTACACTTTCCAATCTCGGACTCCCACAAGGAAGTGAGCTTTTGAGTGTTTTTTTTCATACCTTCAAAATACCTTTAAAGCTCAGTGCGCTTCGCTTTCAGAACTTTAAAACTCGTCGGCTGGAGAGAATGTAAAAACTGTCCCGTGGCCGGGCGCCAATAAAATTCCGATCCCACAATCCGTAATTGTCCAATGTCGTTAACTGTGCATTCCCGGAATTCAGATGCGTTCGATGACGGCATTTTAACTACCGACGGTTTCGGCCAAGTGAAAATCAATTATCATCGTCTGCGACGTGACTTATATAATTATATATAAGTATATGTAGTAGTTACTTTCAAAACAACAAAAATATTTTTTCTCTTTATATTACTAATTTTACAGTACAAATTATTATATATTTCAGTATCATTTACGTATTGTTATTATTTAAGTTAAAAGTAAGGCGATGTATCAAAATGACCGTGGTTTTTAGATCTTTACTTCTGAATACTTTCAAACTTTGTTGGAAGAAATTCTGGTAGATTTAAACCACCTGGAATACAGAACGCTTCCTTATTAATTTTTATGCGACTAGGCCCTTCTGTTACAAGAAAAATACAGTTAAAAATAATGATTATAAGGCAAAATAAATGAAACGTCCTCCAGGCCTCATTTCAAAAAATACTTGGCCCCACCTTTATATCAGAAAAAGAAGTAAAATAAAATGTAAAAATCTACAAAGAATAAGAACAGGTCGCAGTGAGAGGTGAGATCGACCTTGCCAAGGACTTTTCTTGGCTACCTAACCGCACGTCCCACTCAGTTGCTCTCATACTTTCCCTTCTATCGCTAAACCATTTTCTCCTTAATTTCATCCTTTTGTGTCCTTTTTAACCAATTTTTACCGCACGCCGGTTTCAGGAAAATAATCACATAAACCACACTATTCAGGAAGATATCTGTTATCGCGACGTAGTTTGAAGTTTTAAATCCAAGTTCTTATGTTCCTAATGTGCTTTTCCCCTGCAAAATGGGCCTCGGATTGCATCATTGCAGCAACAATTTAAACAACGCTTAAAGTTTTTTTAAAAACTTATTCCAAGGGAGATAATATAGTTTTAACAAGCATTATTTTCAGGAGAGGAGGCAGACTAGCTTCAAAGGAAAATGGTTTTTCAAGTTCTGTCGGGGTGGTAAAAGAGTACAATTAATTATCTTGGCGTGACATTAACTTCTCGCTTGTCACACCATGCACACTTGATACAAAAAGTTTCGGCAACAAAATTTCCGCTTAATACAATGTGGTCTGGTTTCGTGAAACATGACCTAACCTAAAGGAAAAAATCTCTACATTTCTTCATCATTCAACATTCTTCTTTTACCCCTAACAACATGTTTTATATAGAAACCAGTGGTAATCCCTTATCTCTGCACACTTGGAAACTCAATTTTAAATACGTACACAAAACTCCGCACTTATCACTGCACCAAAATTACAGCTCAGAAATAATGAAACATGTATTTTGGTATGAACAAATTCCCTGCCAGAGAAATACCATCCTTCTTTCCAGTTCTATCTGGATAATTTCTCTGGTTGGGTTGCAGAATTCCAATGTATTTTGTCCAACATAAGGTCCAGCGATAAGAGTTGCAATGGTGCGACATATTTGCCCAATGGCATCTGACATATTTCTTAAAATTCGACAGAAGCCTCCTAATATTCACTTTGGTAGGTGAGAAACTAGGGAAAACATTAAAATTAGATATCTTTGTGTCTTTTCAAACTTCGAGATAGAACTGTGCATGTTTGTCGAAATGTACGTACCATCCTGTCTGCGATTAGCGCTTGTCGTATGTTGGGTTTGAATGAAGGGCCGCTGGATTCGTACCCGGGACCTTTACCTTACAGTGATGAACAGTGTCAACGCCTGGCAGCCACCGACGCCCCTGCAGAAATCTTTTATAACTTCACATTTCTGTGTATAACAGGGAAATACCAATGAATAGTATAAAATCTATTGGAGATATCAAATCGGATTTGGTTTCTACCTATTTGGAATCGGAAATAGAAGGGTAATACACATATAAAAGGAATGTTCTACTCACAAACTGTTTATGAGTAAAACTATCCTTATCAAGTATTGAATTGATACACTCATAGCCATTTCTATACTATGGGTAATGTTGTTTTTTGAAGGTAAAATAGGTTAAGAGCTGACTTTCAAGTCCAAGCATATAGGTAAGGTAATAATACAGCTTGCAAGTTTTTAATCGTTTATTAACTTTTAGTCTCCCTGTGCTTTCTACGCTCGGGCCATTTAGTTGACTTAATGCATTACTTAACCCTCGTTTTTGTTCGACATACGTTTATGTAAGCGTAAGCGTTAAACATAGAAAGCGGTGAAAAACATTTCCTAATCCAAGGATAGATTAGGCGTGGAATAGAATGTCCTCTAAATAATAATTAGAAAACAACGGAATACGACTTAAACTAAATGTTGAGAAGTACGTTCAACCAATAGATAATGGTTAAATATTATATTTACTTTCTTCATTTAAAAAACCACACACATGGAAATGTTTTCTAACATTAAACTACAAATGTAAATAAGAAGAAATAGTCTTACAAAAATGTTTTAAGTAAAGCAACTTTTTTTACGTACGTTTTTTAATAACTTCTTTAAATAAAATTGTAAAAATTAAATAAAATAAAAAACAGGTATTTGACAGTCAAATATACAATTTAAATCTTTTTAACATATTAATTTATAAATTTTACCGGCGAGACGAATTTGGAAAAGTGCGACCTCAAGAACTTGATTTGCATATCGCTCAAAGACACTCTAATTGTAATTTTTATCTATTACTCAGAAGAACAATGCCGTGCTTTTTCTTTAACACCTCTCCTTTTATTTATCGCGTTTGTCGAAAGTGAACTAAAACATTTAATATTTATTAAATTTTGAATGAAGCAGCCGTCATAATTCGTTGAGTAATAAAATCGGTTGCAAAATCCTGAAAGAATAATAATAACCATCATGAATATTATTGGCAATGCAATAGATTTTTTTGATGTTTATCACTCTTTATGCGATCCTCCTGTGATTAGTTTTATCTGAGAAGGAAAAATTTTCTTTCGTGTTCCGAGTTTTATTTACAATCGCAGTTCGAGTGAAAGGGATCTCGGCCCTGCCTTAGAAAGTTTATCTTAAAATTTGTTCCTAGTTGGGATTAAATGTTGTGCTGAAATGCTTCAAAATTTACTGTATTTTTTTTTTAGAAATATGGAATACACTAATGAACTATGAAATTAATTGTATCGAAACAATTGCTTCTTAATCCGGTAACGTTTAAATATATACTGAATTTTTTAATTATTCTCTCCTTGGCCTTCTTTCTGCTCAGAGCAAACACGTTGCAACATTAACCGGCTTTACTTCAAGAAAAGTTATTCAAATCAGTTTATTCCTGAGATAATTTAAAATTTACAAAGTTTTCGGGAGCAATTTTGTTCAGGTGCTCTTTTGTGAAGCCACGTCTTCACATTGATCAATTTTTTAAGATTATTTGAAGATTCAGATGTGGCCATCATGGATTTTCTGAAACCATTATCTTGGGTTATGCTAATGACGTAATGAATAGTATCCTGTCTTTTGTAATATAGTTCGAGTGGTTGGTCACATTTCTGCTAGTTTGTTCCTCTTCTCTACATAAAAATGGATTTTGGAAAATAATCGCTTAAAAACGTTCTAGTAACAAATTTAAGACATAAAGGATACCAAGGACTAGTTAATACAAAAATTATTATAATTATAGGACAGTTAGCACGTTTAAATTGAATTAAGTTTACAATGGAAACGTGTCATGTATCGTTCAAATGTTTCGTGACGGTCATTATTTACAACACAATTTTTATAAACAAAGCAAAAACCGCACTAATTATATTTGTTAATCCCGGTATTGTTATAGGTAGTATCTACCCTGTTTCCTTATTTATGTTTTTCCTATTCCACGGTCGTTTTGGGAAAAAATTTAGTGTCAGCGAGATTGCGTCAGAATTATTGACGGTCCCTTTCAGTTGCCGAATAGCGGTTGAAATGACAAAAAGGTCGCGTTTATTTTATAATAAAATCAATCCATAAATTTCAACAATTCTTAGCAACGGCTGTTAATTTATTGTTTTCCGTGCAGGATGCGATCTTGCGAGATGCTGCTGTCAGGTTCGGACTCCAGCTGCAAGACGCCCGAAATTTGGGCCAACGACGAAGATGACGACGACGACATCAGTTACACCAAGATCTCATCAAAACAAGGTAACCTGTTACACTTGAAAAATCGATATATTAAAAATTATATTAGAAAAAATACTCTGACATAAAATTTCTTAATGATAAACGAGTAGTGAGACTTGAGCGTGTGATTGAAGTGCATTTTTGTTTCTAAAACACTTCTCAAAACGCCTTTAATTCAATTTATCTATTTTATAATTTTACTCGACTTAAAAAACAGGAGTATTCACCTTTAAGTGAAACTAATTAGAATCTGTACTATTCGTATCAATAGATTTAGCCTATAAACCTACAAGAAAATATAGTTAACACATTTAGCACACATAATTTTTAATTAGATCACCGTCGAATTTCAAATGATTTGTCAAAAAAGGAACACGGTTGACAATAAGAAGATCGTGTTTGTAAACGCTGATCCTAAAAGCCAGACGAAATGTTTGCCTTGTGCAAACACTGAACGTAATAAACACAGATGTTTTGGTGTATGATTAAAATCTAACGTTTTTGGAATTAAAAACACAAAAATTTTAAACGCCCAACACATGTCAATTTTTTTTCTCGTTTTCGGAGTCGAACAATAAGTTGAATATTGTCAGGTCGAACATTGACAAACGGTGGGAGTCCCACATCGCCGGATATCATGCGGGGCTGAATTTTAATTTATTATCTTTATCATTGTCAAAACAAAAGGTAGATAATACACTCAAAAATGGTTATGTAAATATTCAAAGCGTGTACCTTGATGGAAATACCTAGCTTGGTGGGCGATTTTCTATCGGTTTTCACGGAAGAAAAATGAAAACCTCCGATTGCATAACACGTTCCGTAATTTAGCCACTATTCAATATTTTCCTCGTTTCTAAGACAACGAGTTCGGTTTTTGGAAAACCACGGTAATAGCCTTGAATTTTTTGTTTGCAAATTCGTTTATTTCAACCCCAACATTTGCACATAAAAAATAAAATTTTGCAAGTGCGTTCCGTTACTAGATTGGATAGTGTATAAAAAAGGGCCACCAATCATTTCGCCCCATACAAACCATTTTCATTAACCTCACAATAGAGTATATATTATCAATTAATTATTAATCATGTATTTATTTTGTACTTAAATGACCGAAATTATATTATATAAATTATATATTTATTATATAGAATGTTCGGCCTCAAGGGTACGAATTCCTCTGAATTTTCTTGAAGACGAAGACCGATAAAAAAATTGAAATATCTACTTAGTTCAGACTATTTATTTTTGTTTAACTGTTATTACCAAAATAGGATATGTGACTATGCGAGACGATGATTATTATTACATTGGGAAACATCTGCTAGGTAACTTTTGGAATGGTTGGCCTGTGAGTTATTTTGTCCATTGTGCCCGATTGAAAGGCTGTGTCCACTTTCTTCCGGGGTTCTTCACTTTTCGTTTTAGTTATGTAATGTTTTAAATGATGTAAATTCTGTATTACGTCATCAACTGATATTGTTTTTATTCGAATATGTCCGTCTTTCGTCCTTTTTCATCTTGGAACAATTGTGAATTGGTGAGGGTCAAGGCGTTTTTGTTGCTCAATCGGACTTTTCGTCATTGCCCGTTAGTAAAATTATGTGCTCCTCCTATGTGTCCTTTCCATTTTAGCCTACCTTATGTAAAGTATCTCCATACTGCAGGTCATTGTAGATGTACATAAGCGTTTCTGTCGAGAGCGACTACTACTCAGGTTTCCAATGATACTTTTATTCTTATTACGGCTTATTAAGTTTATATTATTAAATTGGTTTTCTAAACAACACTCGCATCTCCACTTTTTCTAATAATTCACTAGTTTTCGTGGTCCGATTGACCAATTAATATTTCATAATTAATAATTTCCTAATAATGTTATTTGAACGATACGCACATTAAGTCGAACCACGTAAAAAGTAAACTTTAGTGTGAAGGTGTCTTAGGTAAGTGTTAACTATTGATTAAAACAGTCAATCATTTTTTGGGATCACTCAAAACGCCTCAAGCGTCAACAAAACATATATGTAAGTTAAGCCTGCACAAAACCATTAATTCACCGACAAATGATTACCCCTTTACAAATTCAAAGAATGTATTGTAAGCATATGTAAGCAAAAGACCCTTCCCTGTTCCCTATTCCATTACACTTGTGAAGACAGATTAATCATATCCGTGAACAGGAAAGGTTCTTCTCAAGTGTGTTTAACTAATAAAGTTCTTTTAAAAAGACTCTCGTTTCGTCAACACACGTAACACGTAACTGGCACAGTCGGTAGGACATCGCAAAGGGAATATTGGAAACCAATCGTGTGAACGGTGAATTTGCTGCATCGGATCTGATGAACATGATAAAATTTAGTTTGTGAGTAGAAAATTATTGTATTTTATATATCATAAATTTATTGTTTTTAATTTATTTAAGATTTAAATTTTAAGCGCTTTGGGTATTGTTATAACTTATAAACTATAACTTTAATATAATTATATAATTATAACTTGTTGAAATGGCCAATTTTGCCGAATTAAAATTCATCTTGGATGCCATCCCTAACTTCGATGGCAATCCGAAAACACTGACACAATTTATATTAAAAGTGGAAGAAGCACAAAACATTGTATCTTCTCTAACACCTCCTTTAACAAACATAAAAAAATCTATGTCCTTCATACACATTAAAAACAAATTAACAGATAGAGCGAACGAAGCCCTAAGGAACATACAATTTGCAAACTGGGATGAGTTAAAGCAGTTTCTAATCAAAGAGTTTGGTGATAGGAAAGGACCGGCCAGCATTATCCTAGAGATAATGCAGATCGAAATAAAAAACCCTTTCAGATCACTAAATTTAATAAAAGAAAAGTTTGACTCGTTCAGAGCAAAAATACTTACGGAAAAGAGATCAGATGAACAAAAAGCATACTTGATAGAATTTCAAGAAAAAATTATAGCTACAAATTTCGTCTGTTCATTAAAAGACCCCTTGCGTAATAATCTAGCAACCAGAAACCCACAGACATTAACGGACATAGGAAATAGTAGATGATGGGGTTTGGTCTGCGAGTTGGCGAACTCATGTTGAACTGGCACACGGGCACTACTGGGTCTGTCTTCACTCGCGGGTTTTTTGTTTGAGTTATTCAGTCTGTTATACATTCCTATTTCGTATTTTGATACGCATTCTAGTCAAGAGAAGCCTCGAACAGGGAGTACACCGGTTGGATCTCAGACGTTACGTCCTGGAGCTCAGAAGCGAAAAAACTGTAAAAATAAAAGTAAAAAACATTAAAGATGGAGAAGGTGTATTAAACTATCATAACATGGCGGGAATAGAAATACTAGTAAATGCTAATAGAAATACTAATAGCATTAAATTACCAATAACACAACCATTCGTGGTAAATAATCTAGAAGATTACGAAATTAAACACAAAACAGGAAAAGAGAACAAGATAGCTGATGCTCTTTCGAGAATAGAATTGAATGTACATGAAACCGGTGACGAAGTAATAGACGAATTAATTAGAGACTTTTATTTACAAAATCCAGATCTCGAACCCGATAGATTAAATTTTGAAAACGAATCTAATGTAAATCTAGAAAATGAATCCATCATGGTCAATGTAGATGAACTTGATGGAAATGCAGATGAAAACATCGACGATGACAATGCGACGGTACATTCCAACGGAATTGGAAATACGGTTACGAATATACCGATTATTGAGGGTCCGGTTAATTTCGGTAACAATCAAAAAATAATTTCAGAAGTCGAATTTTATCCGGCAAAACCCAAAATTATTAAGTTGTTCGGGAATTCAAAAACAAGAATAAGCGTCCATTTTTCAAAGAACGATTTTACTAACGACGTTATTAAATTTATAAAAGAATTCATCGTGCCTAAAACAGCATATCACTTTATTTCGAGTCAGACTTATACGAAAAATTTGCGAAAGTAATAATGGAGGAATTCACTTATTCAGAACTAAAGTTTCTTAAATGTACAGAAAAACGTATCGATGTTTTAGAGGAATCCGATATCAATGAAATTATAGAGAAATATCATATTTCAAAAACAAATCATAGGGGCATCATGGAAACGGAAAGTAGAATCAAACGTATATATTATTGGCCTAATATTAGTAAGTCTGTACAGGAATTTATTAATAGATGTGAAGTATGTCTTTTAACGAAATACTATAGACAACCCCTGAATTTAAAGTACAATTTGTCTCCGACACCAAGCATTTTGAGATTGTTCATATTGACACAATTACGCTAGAGAATAAAAAGTTTTTAACAATAATAGGCACTTTTTCTAAATATGCTCAAGCCTACAAAATAGAATCGAATCAAGCAATCGAAATAGTGAATAAATGAATAAAAAATTTTGCATCTTACAATGTTCCAAAGACTATTGTGTCAGATAACGGGCTGGAATTTAACAACAGTCTAGTCAGGGAATTACTATCGCTACATAGAGTCAAGTTGCATTTCACATCTTCTCAAGACCCGGAATCAAAACAACCCGGCTCTATAGAAAGATTTCATTCCACCCTCATCGAGCATATCCGACTTTTTAATAATCAACAAGAATTCATGCACACCTATTAAAACCTATTGAAATTATCAGTGGGCATTTACAGAACGAATCTATTTTTAAAATCAATTTAGAACAACAAATTTTAAGTAACTATGTCAGTAATCATAAAAAGAAAATAGATTTGTTATATAAAACGATCAATGAAACTTCTTTAGCGCATAAACAACATATTATCGAAAAGCGAAATGAAAACAGAATATAAATTCCAGAAGTAAATATACCGAACAAAGTTTTTGTGAAAGTCAAGCAAAAACAAAGCAAAACAAAGAATAAATACAAAAAGGAGAAAATAAAATCCATAAATAAGAATCTAAAAACTGCCGAAATCATCCCAAGTCATCACAACACGATAGACAAAATACACATATCAAACATTAAAAAACCAAGAAAATTAACAAATTCTCGCGACATTCCAGGTTCTTCCCACTCCTCTTCTGGACCACAACCAGAGGAATCAACATAGTTTATATTACAAACGGCATTGCCATAATTCATGTAAACCTTGGTTCAGCAAAGTTGGAAATTTCAGAACATACTTTTATTCATTATTTTAGGCTAAGAGAATTGTTTAATCAATTAGATTATTTAGAAGAATTTTATAACCATGTATCGGAAATTGTCTACTCTAGTAATAGTAAAAATGTAGATTATGTAGCTAATAATAGTAGTAAATCAAGACATATTGTAAATACTTTAAAATTAATTAATCATAATAAAAAATGTAATTGGAGAAAAGTTAGAAATCGGTTTTGTAGAAAATAAGAATAATGCTAGAATAAAAAGAGGTTTATTTAATGGTATAGGATCTATTTTAAAGATGTTAACTATTTTCTTAAACCCAAAACGCATATTCATAACATCAATATTATAAGTCTAAATAATAATTGTAAACAAACTAAATTGTATCTATGCTCATATAAACAAATCAGTCATAAAGACAATCTGTGTGACAAGGCCATACTTCTTCCAGATCCATCGAACTGTACATACACAGAACTCGTCGCAACCGACAATCACCTGACTTGGATACCTGAGCCCAACCAGTATTTGGCTCTATTTCCTAATGAAGAACCTATTAGTATAAGCCGCCAGGATGGGACTACAGTAAAACGACTAAAAGGAGTATTTTTACTGAACATCAACGGCAGTAAAGTGGTCTATAGGAACAGAGAATTGTACCACTCGCCAATCATCAGGACTTCGTACATTTCAACGTCTATGTATGGACCATGCCAGTCTACTGTTTATTGGTCATAGCCTCAGCTTATGGAGTCTTCACATGGTATCGTCAGCGGAGACAACCCTTGGCCATATCAACCCCTATCAGTCAGCCACCTCCGGGAGCTTTATTTGGGCATGGAGGAGTTACGCCTGCACAAAACCATTATATCTATTAATTCAGCGACAAATGATATTACCCCTTTACAAATTCAAAGAATGTATTGTAAGCATATGTAAGCAAAAGACCCTACCCTGTTCCCTATTCCATTACACTTGTGAAGACAGATTCAGATTAATCATATCCGTGAACAGGAAAGGTTCTTCTCAAATTGTAAGTGTGTTTAACGAATAAAATTCTTTTTTAAAAAGACTCTCGTTTAGTCAACACACGTAACATAAATGTATAAATAATAATAAATANCACACACACACACATTTTTTACACATTCTTTTAATTTGGTTTTGGGGACCGAAATTTGCACCACAGTTGCGCTATCTTGTTAGCAGTTGATTAACGGATAACGGGAAAAGGTTTTTCATTTCCTGTTGTTTTAATACCATTAATAAACACTTCTTTATCCATAAGAGGATTAGGTGTTGATATCACGCAATACCAAGAAGATAATGCGTCAGTCCATAAAGGAAAATTGTGACGTAAGACCTGATCCTCAAATGTAAGTAGAAAGGTTGATTAACAAATAAAAAACAGCACTAACTTTTTTGATTGCCTGGTGTTTGGCGAAATTTTTGTAAAGTTTTGAAACAAGTGAAACAATTAATTTACTATCGACTAAAATGATAAATAAATAAATTAGTGATTGGTTGAAGAAGTTGGAGAAAATTTCGTTTTTCCGAAAAACAATGTTCGCAAATAGGTTTTGGCAAATAACTGGATAACGGCTGCTCCAAATGTAAAATCGTTTGCACCGATGAATTCAACGCCAAAAGACCTTTAATGTTTTTTGTAGTATATTTGAAAAAAAATATTTCCCTATTCGTATCCCGCTATCCTAGATAGTTAGATCAAAACTGTTTGGCTTATGAGAAGCTACACTAAAAATAAACGTATAAGATTGTTGAAGGTTTTCCCCCAATATAGGTGAGAACCAAATTCACCCTGCATAAAGGGTGTCCATGTCAGTACTTTAGGAGGTTATCCTATATGATTATTTGGAGATCGTGAGACGCAGTCTGGTGTGACGTAGGGTTTAGAAAAACATTTTCTTTATCGTGCCAACGTTTCGATCTTTATGGAGATCATCTTCAGGGCTCAAAGTGTTTGTTTTCCGTGTAGATGTGTCATTCTTGTGTATCGTGTTAAGAGACACCAGACCGCATTTCACGATCTCCAAATAATCAATAACTAACGATCACTGAACAACAACATCCTATATGTCAAATTTGCCTAAAAAGTCCCCATTGTCCAAAGTTTCATTCTCAATTGTATTCGAAATAGGTATTTCACTTTTCAGGTTACTTAAACCTTTTACAATTTTTTCCATAAAATCCCTCGTAATCCTACTTAAGTCAATCCAATTATGTATTCGACTACACCAATGGAATGTACATTCAAAATTTATTGATTTCACTTGCTTTTTGTTTTTATTAACTTTAACACAAGACCTAAAAAGCAACAATGTAACAGAAGACTTGGAAACTACGAAGACTCCTAGGAACGAAATCCGTCATAGCCGACAAGACTCAATTAACCACACACAAACCTTTACTACGACCACTTCGGACATACGGAGTCTGTGGGGTTCTTCCAAACCATCCAATATCCAGAGCATCCAATCCTTCCAATCAAAAGTCTTCAGACAAATCTTCAATCTTCATCAACAAATCTTCCTTACTAGGTCATTAACGTCACTATCCCCAAGGTTCAATAAATACTGATAAAATACATCAATAAATCAATCATCAATAAATACTTAATGAGCCGTAAACACATATACCTTGTTTTCCAAAGGCCTGTGATCACTTTATCACCAATGTAAAATTAACATTTAATTAATAAAAAATTGATTTTTCTCTCATAAACCGTCCAAAGAATTAGTCATTATGATTTTAAAATTTCCATTAGTGAAAGTAGTACAAAATACATAAAGAAAACAGAAAGTAAACAAAATTGAACATCAGAAAAAAACAAAAACCTTCTTGAAAAATGCAAGCCTGACGTTGCTTTCTGACATATTTCACTGCTCTCAACTCTTAAGCTTTTTGTCTTTTTTTATGTGTCCAATTGTGTACCAAAATTCTGTTTTGGTGTATGATGATATAGTGCTAAATGTATGGCAATTATAGACTTTATAGACTGTGATAAACTGTTACTACATGCTAATCTATTGTTTATATCAAATGGTTGATTTTTTAAAACTTTTATTTCAATTGCTGTACTATTATTTATATATCTTAAGGGTTTGTTTTGAGGAGCGTTGGTGGCTGAATCGGTTGTCTTGACACAGCGACTCATCACTGTAACGCTAAAAATGCCAGGTCGAATTCAGGGCCGCTGGATTCGAAACCAAGAAAAACTCTATGTGTATAGGACCTATCTAAAAATCTATACCTTATCTACATCTTATCCATCGTAAGTGGTCAGGTTTGAGAGCCGTACGGGAGTAAGCAATACACATCTGTCCAGAACATTTCCTTTTTACTATCTTACTTTTTAATTATGGTTTTCACGTTCAATATTATCTCCAAGGTCTAGTGGGTTCTCGAAGCGTTTCTTTTCGTGCCCTGTCGGTGAAACCGGCTTCCTAACCTAGGAAGATTGTTTCGTCAACCCATTTATGTTCCTCTTTTTGACTATTCATCTTCAAAATGGGATTTTTGCTGGACTAATATTTAGTCCTATTTGTTTGCTTTTTCATAAATTTTATATATTTAGTTTTGTAAAGTATTTTCTATGATGGAGCTAGTTAATTCGTCGTCGTTATTTCACCAAATTCTGGAAAAATCAAGAAGGTGTATAAATTTCTTTTAACCGTTACTGTTTCTCCCCCCCCCCAAACCGAAATCGTTTACAGATAAATGAGAATGTGCAAGAAAATGAGTGGTTTATCAACTAGGAAAAATTGTTTTTATGTTCCAGACTCAGAAAGCGATTTATCGGAGGCAGACTCGTTGAAAAGGTCGAAACAAGAAGGGTCAGGGAAGGGCGGCAAGAGGCGGTGCCTTCTGGGCAGCGTGCCACCGTCGGCGGCCGGGCGGAGGCGGCGGCAGGGTCTAACTGCTAGGGAAAGGAATCTCCGGAGGCTAGAATCTAACGAAAGGGAGAGAATGAGAATGCACTCCCTCAACGACGCATTCGAGGTAATCCCTCGGGAACCCCTATTTTTTCCTTTTTTTATAGCGCAATTTTTTGTAACTAAATCCAGGAATGTGCAAATTGATAAATTTAAATCGAGACAATGGGCAAACGAATGAAGATCACTATATTCTGAAGACAACGGTTTTCTTCACGAAAAGAAATAAAATCAAAAATCGGACATTCCGGCTCGCTCTATACAAAAATATCAATTAAACCTCATTTCTCTATAATTAATCGTTGGACGTTCAGTTTCTTCAGCCAGCGCTTGAAGATAGTTTTCAGTGTTCTCAAGCTTAGTGGCAATATTTTTCTGGTCGTGCACGCACCTTTAAAAATAAATTTCTTTTACCTTTGTGGCTATCGATCTATGCGCTCGCGGAATAGCGTTTTGTGGCCGCGTTTTTCGAGAACACCTTTTCACACATGGAACATCGCGGTCATGGTTCAATTTTGAAGTTGAAACCCCAACATACCGGTTTTCAGTAGAACGTTTGTTAGCTGTATTGATTTAGCGTTAATGTAATCAACGACCGAAACCGACTGAAACATCTTCCCAAATGTTAGGACCTAGACACTTTTCCACAAACGAAATCTGCTGAATATTCAGAAATACTTGTGACATACCTGATGTGATAACCAGGTTTTTTTGGTTGCTCGCGATCATTTTCGTCTGCCTTCCCTCGCTAGTTTGGTCTGTCAAGCAGGATTCGGCTTTTCGCATTGAGTGGTGAGTTTGTGTGGATTTGGCTTACCATTGAACTGACAGTATAACAATATTTTTTATATTTTTTATTCCCTTGTCATAAGGGAGCAAGTGTGCTTCCCTGGGGGACGCTGGCTAAAATGGGAAAAATAGAAGAGGAAGGGGTGCCTTGGATTACTTGGAAGTATCGGTCTGTTAGGAAGGATTTGAGGATAAGTTAGAATGCAAATAGGAGGTTGCTCTCCACAACATGCCCTCGGCACACACATGCACATACACGATCATAGGCCTGGGATATATCTAGGAAACCACCAGGGCTGTATTAGATTTTTTTGAAGGCATTTCTATTAGCGGTCGCCGCAAAGATTAAGGACGCTCATCACTGTAAGGCAATTTTTATTATTTATATATTACAATTAATTAAGGTTTTTAGTTGATAAAAAAGTCAAGGGGTTGAAATGGGAAGTTAGTGTCCGAGTGGATCGAGGTCACGATAGCTCAAGTGGTAGAGCAGAGGCGTATCTAGCCGAAGATCGTGAGTTCGAATCCCGCTCGTGCCATTGACTTTTTTATCTCAACTAAAAATCTTAATTAATTGTAATATATAAATAATAAAAATTATTAAAATTTAAAAAAATAAAAAACACTGATATTAATACCACTCATAAGTTATCGCAAACAGGTTTTAGTAAATTAATTTAATTAGTTCTCTCGTCCTTTTAGTAATCGATTTAAAAAGCTACTTTTTGGAAAGGGCTGACATTTAGAGTTCTAAAACGCGTTATTTCGGCAACATTTCGTAGAGGAAGTGAGTGCACTGCACATACTGATTTTTTTCTAGCAAATTTTTCATGTAAGGATTAAGGATGCCATTCCCCATTTGGTTCAAGCGATTGCGGAAAATAGAAAAGTGAAGTGAATTTTTTTCTGTTTCTTTTTTTCGTTTGTAGCATCTTATTTCCTGCTCGGCAGTATAACAGAAATGAAGGTGTACTACGATCAGTACTGTTGCCTAACAAATCGCAGAATCTGTTTATTACGCCTGTTTACCAGGAATGGGAAAAACACGCCTTAAAGGGTCATCTATCCGGTGAAAATTGAAAATCGAACATGTCTAGTTTAACTCGACGGTAACGATGGAAAGTCCTTGATCTATATAAATAAGAATTTCGTTTGTAAAGTTGAATACCAGCGTTGATTTGGAGCAGATTTGGCACCGCTGCCCCAGGGTGTGAAAGTCTCCACGCGTTGCGTAACACATTTTTGCTTTACCTCTGAACTATAACACATTTTAATAGTTTAAATGATGGTAATTTTTATTTTGTAGTCGGGATAGTCTGTAAATCTATCAAAAATGGTGTCAAATCAATTGAATAAAACAAAGATCTCTTTCTCTCGCCTCCGTCGTCATATTCAGTTGTCTATCATCCTCGCTGGTTCGGTATCTCAGACGTGTTTCGGCTGTACGCCATATTCATTGGTTTCTGTTAAACAATGATTAAGAATTGTCAACTCATCTTTGCGATGTAAATTATTATTTGCAACTTGATATTATGCCATTTATCCTCGGTCGAATGTCTTATTTGAAGATATTGTTAGATCAAATGGTTGAATTTACATTTCTATACAACGATGAAAATCACATTTTTTACTGAATAAGTTCAGTCATATTTGTAAAACACATTTATCTTTTCAATATTGCTCAAACAATTAAACAAGGATTTTATCACAAATCTAATAAAATAGTCGGTTTTACATATAAAAGGACTCTTATTCAAATTTTATTTACAGCAACTCAGAGAAGTAATACCACATGTAAAAATGGAAAGAAAACTCTCAAAAATCGAAACGCTGACGTTAGCTAAAAACTATATTATGGCATTGACCAATGTTATATGTGAGATTAGAGGAGAGGAAAAACCTTACACGTGTGTATCTTCACCTGTTAACCAGATGATGAGAACTAAATTAATTATCTATTTATTTTTATTTTTTTAGATTTCTTGACGTGGATTGTGACAATGCGAGCAATGCTGGTGATGATCTAGAACCCAACAACAACTCCTTGTTTCAAGAGAACCTCGAACCGAGAGATGAAGAGTTGTTATCTGTTGAATGAGAATTCGACTGCGAATTGCCTGTAAAAGATATGAAATTAAAGGCCCTTGCTATTAGGTTCTATGAACCACGAAGCCTTTCAGGAATCTTGTGATAAAATTAATTATTATTTTAATACCAGAAAGTAATTTTATATATCGAATTTATTAAATTATAATTGAAATATATCTTGTCTTATTCTTCTTTTTTATGTATTTTTCAGTTTGTTAGTACTATGAATTAGGAATGATACACAAAACATTTCCAATTGATTTTTGTTTATTGATAAAAATATATCAATTGCGTTTTCTTCATAAACTGAAAATAGAATTTCGAAATTTAAGACCTATTTAAACAAAGACATAAACCAAACTGTTGAATAAAAAGTGGATTCTAGTTAAAACTTTACTTTAAGAATTGTCATAATAATAAACATTTCCCCTTATTTATGCAACAAATAAGTTTTAGACAAACATCTTTTGTTGTAAAGTTTTGGAAACAAAATAACTATGTGCAGCAATAAATACTGTTGAAATTCTAAAAAGTACTTGATATAAATTTTGAAACATTAAAAAAAATTGTTCAAATTGATTGTCAATTTCCAATATTCCATTTTAATAAATAATAAATGGGTTACCATTAAGAATACATTAGCACTATGATAAAGAGAAATAATGAACTTCAAATAACAAACAGGAGATAGTTCCTGCAGTTATAAATGCAGATTATTTGTGAGAAATGTCTCATAATGGAGGAATAAAAAAATTATTGTCAACCTTTTGTTTATTCATTTTTTACCTTCTTCAAAGAGAAGTGTACGTTTGAGATAAATAAAAAAGGGGATGAGTTAAAAAGGAGGAATAAAGTGTGAAAAGAAGAGAAAGACTAAGTACTAATAATGTCCATTAGGCTGGGTGCCCCCTGGAACGATGGTTAATGCGATAGTTGATGCAAAATGAAGCGATCTTTCATTACCCGATACGACTTTTACCGGCCCAACACACTTGTGCCCACTGGAGCAAAGTGGCAAGTGATACAATACATACTATAATAGTTTTTAAATTTTAACAGTTGCAATCATTAGCTCTTTACAGGATGCCATTATTGCATACCGGTACTTACGTCGGTAGAAATCAAAAATGAGAAAATGCAGATGCTGATAATTATCACGATCACGCTGGTGTGCAGAGTTTAATTGCTTACACAAGGAATATATGTAGTAAGCGATATGGTTCGAATTGCTTATTGTATCACTTGTATCGCCCCAGTGGGCACCCCGCCTTAGGTTTTAAACAAAAGAGAGAGGGAAAATGAGAGAATAATAAATAAATAAGTATTAACAAAGAATATATTTTTCAGAAAAAAAAAAACACGAAAAAACAACACTTTTCTTAGAAAATAAATATGTATATACAATTTTTATATATATCACAAAATTAAAAATTAACAGAACTTAATAAAATAAATAAGTCTTTATTATGGCCTATGTTTTGAAACTTTTCACTTTAAAAATGTGTTATGTAATTTGTTTGAATTAGTTTTAGATCACAATCAACAAAACCTTTGCCGTCCTTGTTCAATTTCATTTTTATAACTGGATCACATCCTTCTGACGGCCAGAATACAAATAGTTTTACTACAGAACCTGGTTGAATAATTCCTAGAAATATAATAATAAATTTATCCATCAAATGATTTATGTCACTGGAACTTACCGGCCTCTTGTGCTGCTGCTAGCTGGCTCACCACTTTCCTCTGGACTTCGTATTTTATACTTCTAGCACCGTAGTGGATATTGTAGCCGCTTGCTAAAACTGTCTCGACACCAGCTTCCCAAAAGAGGTCAATTTTATGTTTAATCTTGGCCTTTTCTGCCCAATATTTCAACTCTTTTGATACAAGTTTATTAAGCTCAGAATTTGAGAATGGCAAAAAGTACACTATTTCATTTATCCTCCCAAGGAATTCATCTCTCTTGAAGTGCTTTTTCAGAATTGGCCGTACGATTGACTCTTTGAAATCTTTTGTGATTGTCACATGTTCTGGTTCTATGTCAGCGTTGTCTAAAGTATTAAAAGAGAAAGACAACATTTTATTACAAAATCCATTTAATTAAATATAAGATAATTACTTTTCATATTTTTTAAACTGTCTGCTCTAATTTCTAATGAGAATGCTGCTATTTCCTCAGATGCAAGATTTGAAGTCATTACAAAAATTGCATCTTTGCATTCAATAGTTTTTCCTTTGCCATCTGTCAATCTACCCTAAAAATCACACAAATTAAAAGCTTTAAAAATAAAAAATTAGCAATTAAAAATTATATATTAATACTTCATCAAACAGCTGTAATAGTGTGGTGAGCACATCTGGATGAGCTTTGTCAACTTCGTCAAATAGAACAACTGCATTAGGACACTGTTTTAATTGCTTTGTCAACTGACCTCCTGCATCATGACCGACATATCCTGGAGGTGCACCAATCAATTTTGCAACCTGAAAATAAATTGAAAATTCTGTGGGGTGATAGTTGTGACTTGACCATTTCTGATCATTTTGCCATCTTCCAGACAATAACCGAAAACAACCAAGCAACAATTGAAATTAATTAATTGCTTTTTTAATACATAACATTTTAAAAGCTAATTGGAATAAAATTGATTAACAAGTCATAAATCCTTGTAAGGTGGTTTCTGATGATTTCGTCATTTTTGTTAATTGCTCACCCCCTCTACAGAAAAGAAAGTTAAATAGTTCGTGCTTGTTTACATTGGTTTTTAAGATTTTGCTTTGCCTTCCCTTCTCTATTCCATTTTATTTATTTATTTTTTTTCTAGTTGGCCTCATGGGACCTTGTTTTCTGCAGATTGCTTATTTCAGGAAGAAAAATTTCTTTTTATTGTTCCTCTCATGAGAGGCATGATCATTGTGACGACTACATCTTTTGGAGCTCTAGCAGGTATTTGCTGACGCAAGGTCCTATCCATTTTCCTATCTTCATCCAACTCTATTTTCCGTTTTATTCCCCCTCCCCTATCCCCATCATTCCGATACTAAGCAACAGCAAGAGCTGAGTTTATTTTTTTATTTCTCCTTTTTGTAAATATTTTTTTATTATCAGTCCACTAAAATCACTCAGTAGTACTACTATCTGTTTCTTTGTATCAAATACTAATTTTGTAAGAATAATTACTTCATGCTTTTCTTGGTACTCAGACATGTCTAAACGAATGAAGGCATTTTTTTTGTCTTTGTGAATGTAAGTTGCTACTTGCTTTGCCAACTCTGTCTTTCCGATTCCTGAAGAACCTAAAAATAAAAATACTAAGGGGTGTTCATCGTCAGCCCATCCATTTTCTTTCCTTCGAATAGCTGAAAATCAAAGCTATTAGTTTTTATAGATATTAATTTGGATGATGCCAGAGATACCTGATGCAACTAGAGAAATAGCTCCTTCCTGCCCAACAATGTACTTCTTGAGACGCTGTTCCAATGGAAACTTCCGCCTCTCTTCTGCTTCTTTCTTTTTCAAAACTTCCTCATACTTGAGAAAAATAATGGGGTTTAAAATGAAAATTCAAAAAATCAAAGGATTATGAATTTAAAAAATATACTTTTTCACTTTCTACTTGAAGATATTGCTTTATTTCATCAGATTTGGCAAGACTAGAAGGTAAATGACCAGAGGCCTCTATCATCGGATTCGCACCATTTTGAAGGAGCAAATTGATGCTTTCCATATCGTCCATGAGTACTGCATAATGAAGAGCAGTGAATCCTACAAAATTCCCTTGGGCTTTTAAATGTTCTGAGAACTCACTTTCACGTTGAATAAGAACTAAAAACAGAGTCATAATTAACAAAAGTAGTTTTCGGCTATCAATAAATCAAACAAAATTTTAATAGTTAAAAGGAACAAGGCTAGTTATAAAATCAATACTACCATCAAGTGTCTGGATACCCTTTTGCGTGGCAGTCCTGTAACTATTGACATATTCATCTCCAAGATTTGGATCGGCTCCAGCATCCAAGAGCAATTTGACAATTTCATGGTGCCCATTGACAACTGCCACTTGCAGCCCAGTCCAACCAAGAAAATGCCTTTTATTCACATCGAATGAATACTCAGCCAAAAACCTTAAACACAAAAAATAAAATATAATTAAACTGATATTTAAATACAATAGTATAGTTGTACGGCCTATTACCTCCGGAGCTCCTCTGTATTTCCAGCCTTGATTAGTTTAAAAAACCTAGCATCTAAAGAAATTAAAAAAATTAACTAAGGTCAGTTTTTATTAATATCAAAGATGATGAGAAATTTGTTTCATGATAAAATGTTTAAATAACATTTACTTACTTATTATCATATTTTTATTTACTAACAATTTATTGGTAATTAATTTAAATATTTTAATTATCATTATTTTTACTTTTTATACAGTAAACTAAATTATGTAAAGAAAGTTGAGATGAACTTTCATATATTTATTATACTTAAAAATTAAAACTTCAGATTCACTTCATTGATCATCCCGGTCAGCCTATTTTTGCTGGCTTTATCTGCCAAACCTGATTTGGCATTTTACCATCTTCAGTTATCAGAAATATAAAAATGCATCTCTCTGAAGAAGTGTATGGACCTATACAAATGATGACGTGGAGCTGTTAGAGAAGCATGTACTTGATGGATACTGTGAAGCGGGGATTGTGAAACCCAGGCATTGCGGCAAAGTTCTTGATGGATACTTGGAAGAGAGGTATGAGCTCCCCAAGCATTGCGATGATGTAAGTACTTACTACTACTCATAATTACTAGTTCTTACTATGCTAACAGCTCCACATGACCAGTTCATATGTCACTGAGACTCGAATCCTGATTACAGGATATTGAAAAATATGGCAAAAAGAGGGAAAATTTGAAAGATTGTAGGTTGAAGTGAGAAGTTGGTGTTCAAATAGATCAAAGTCACGATAGCTCAAGAGGTTAGAGCATCAGCGAATTGAGCTGAATGTCACGGGTTCAAATCCCACATATGACACTAGCTTTTTCATCTCAACCTTAGATATAAAATCTATATTTAGTATTCACAGTGATGTTACAATGCAGAATGACAGGACAGTGGTGCAATTTGCAATTTTTGTAATGATGCAGCCGTGCTTAACACAACGCTAACAATACAGAAGCTGCAAATATTTTCAGACTTGTCCAGTCAACGGTGATAAAAGATGACAAATCGTCAAGATCACATAAATTATCCCTAGAACAATTCCTCTACCAACAAAGATCAAGCATTCCTCTCATAAGAATTGATGTAAACGAATCATGATTTATTTTTTGCAGTGTGTAATTTTTTTGTCGAATCGGAAAAGAGTTGAAAATAATTTACCTTTGTATTTCTGATCGCGAGAGGCGGTGCAGTTGGCGACCGCGAGGGCTAAGCCGCCGCTGGCGAAAGCCGTCAGAAAGACGGGCGCCCGTCTGAGACAGAGGCCAGCGGCGAGTCTAGGCAGCGCCGATGGAAGCTGGGACCGGAGCCTTGACTTTTTGACAGGCCATTTGGCGGAAACGAGGTTTTTCAGTCTCGACCTCAACAAGACGGACATCCTCCAATCTGGACGCCTTATGTCTGCCACTTGAGCATCGGACCCGGACGGTCGCCCTTCCCTTCAACCGGCGTCCGATTGGTGACTGGAATTTGGAGAAACGAGGAACAAACCGACACACAATCTCCTGATGGTCAACGTCAACCGTAGACCGACACGGCCTCACCTGGTGCTTGTGCAGTGTGGAGGTTTCGAGACCCCGTTCCATCCGCCAACCGCCGAAACCTCCATCCGCCCGCCAATTCCGCTCAAAAGTATCTCAACTAATTATATTTTCATCGGAATCAATTTTAACGGTGTACCCAAAAAAATTTTTATATTTATTTACACAAAAATATATCCATGTGATAAACGTCCATTCCAAACAATATATTATTTTTAATTTTTGTTTTTTTGGGCAAAAATATTCCTTTCAAACAGATATCATGTCCATCCAAATTAATCTGTCTCATTTCCTTCTTACTTTTCATAGATGAATAGTATTCTTTTATAAAAGATTGAACACTGATTTTAAAGGCTACGAAAGGGGCGTCGCCCGTCGGTGGTTTAGGCATCGACAAGGCGCTCGTCACTGTAAAGGTTTCAGGTTCGAATCTAGTGGCCCTGCATTCGAACCCGACGAATCGATACTTACAATTTTTTTCCGGCACCCAATGGATTCATATAACCTAGTAGTTGAAACGCCCTCGCAAAAAAAAGGCTTCCTATCTGCACTTTTCATCTTTAACATTCCACACTTAAGGGTGTTTTTCTATTTATTGCATAAATAACTCAACAACAATTTTATCTGCTATTGCAAACAGTTCGACGGCAACGAGAACTGCCGGCATTGAAATTGGGATCAGAAAGAATACAAATAACTAATAAAGTGTTCAAAGTCGTGCTAAAATGAAAGATGGGGAAACCCGTTGACTTCGTGAAATCAATCAGTTCTTTTTCTCGGCTCACCGCTCGGTCCCTGGCCCAGAATTCCATGCGAAAAGTTTGGCGGGTTTTTCGAACTTCGGTGGCAGGGCCAATGAGTTGAATAAATTACAGGTTTGTTATATGAAACAAATGACGAACAGTTCAATCTTTTTCTACTATTTCCAACAATAAATTTCAATAAAATAAAAACGAAAAAGGTTGAACAGTTCTACATCTTGTTCACATAACCAAAGTTAGTAACGCAATAATATTATTTCCTTTTTCTTGTGAACGAGTGAATACAACAAAAATCAAAATATACATTAAACAAAAAAAAGACATATTTTGTATTTTTTAAACTATATGTATTTTATCTTTATATTAATTATTACATACTTATGCCACTGTAAACCAAATTAAACGATATAAAAAATTCGTGAGTTTTAATAAAAAAGATTTAATTACGATGATTTGAAAGAAAATTTACCAAAACACCAGAAAATCATTTAGTTATAGATTAAAATTTAGCTAACAAATTTTTTTTACTTAGTTTTTCTCATTATAACGCATTAAAAGCAAAAGTAGGTAAAAAATTGTTAGTTTCGGCCCTTTTTCAGGATTGGATCGGATAAAAACCGTAAAAACTTTGTCGTTTTAACATACTCTCTTTATTTCCAGTACATAAGCATTTTCACATATTATAACCTTTCTAAAAGTGACCAACGGATTCAAGAATCCTTTTTAAAAAAAGACATTTTCTACTCACAGTAAGTTGTTTTCCAACGAACAGGATTTCGAGCCCTTAGCTCATCATCAGGTTGAAGGATTTCTACAACTAAGTCTCTCGACATGAATTGCAAAAGTGAACCTGCCGATACTCTCGCCAACGCGACGTTCCAATGAGAAACTGGTTTTTTAATGGCGCTCAATTTGAACGTGCGAAAAGCGGGAATTATGACACAAGTAAATATTATAATGGTAAATACTGTAAGAAATTAATTATAAATTAGTGATTAAAGATAAAAAATAAAAAATTAGAATGATACCTTAACATTATTAAATTATTATAAAAATAATAACAATTAAAATAATTAATTTAATTATTTGGACGTTTAATATTATTTATGTACATATTTAAAATGGGAGGTAGATCAAAATCTATTATATTATTAATGCTTTTATCTCCATGTTCAATTTTACATTTTTTAATTTCAAATTTCTCAAATCAATCTAGTTCTCTCCCTTTGTTGAAACTATGTAACATTATTGTATTTAAATTTGAATTGAAATTATGTTTTGTTTCTTTTAGATCGTCCTTAAATTCTGAAAATTTGTTCGATTTAGGCAAGTGTTCTTTTACTCTCGTTTTTATTTCTCTGCCGCTTTGTCCTATATATTTAATATCACAATCACTACAAATAAGTTGGTAAACCCCGCTTTTTGCCAAGTTGTTAATGTTTAAGTTATTTTTCCATTTAAGAACCTCACAGTCCGACGTCACCTTGGCGCAGCATTCAAATTTATTCTCCTACATTAGTTAAATTTTAATCTATCACTAAATGATTTTCCGGTGTTTTGGTCAATTTTCTTTCAAACAATTTGCTGGATTTGTCGGCACAATTTTTTTTGAAACCATTATAAATAAATAATTTTTATTAAAACTCATGAATTTCTGATGTCGTTTAATTTGGTTTACATTGAAATAAGTATGAAAACACCTGTCAATTTAAAAAAAATTACTTTATTTTTAATTTGTGATATTACTTTACTTAAAAAAAGAAAGAAAAAACCCAGCTTTTTCTGTTAAAAGCGGATTTGAGTTTGGACTTTCCAGTTCCAGAGCCTGCGCGCTCTGCTGAGTGCTCGGCGGACTAGTTTGACATTGACGTGACACCGCGTTCCGTGATCCGTTTGATACGAAACATGTAATACATGTATGTTTACCTGTTCGCTTCTTCTGTCACTCGTTATCCGAGGTGTGAAGTTCGGATTGGATTATCGAGCTAATCCAATGATCGTCGGGTTAAAGGGGTGAATCCGGTTTTAAAAGACAACGGAAATGCAAAAGAAAGCTCTCATACGGAAATAACGTTTTTATTGTCGAATGGAATCTATTTTGTAATCTATTCTGAGATCGGCGACCCGCTTTTACTTCGAGACCAGAACGCCGAGTCAGCAGGCGTTTCCGGCGGCGACGCGACGGTCTAACGTGTCCAGGGCGAAAATGACGAGTTTAATGGGCGATTTCTTCTCCAGAGATTATTACAGCGTGCTCTTTGCCGTTGTCGTCGTCGCCCTCGGCATCCTCTTGAATTACACGGTCAGGAGTGCTCAGGGCATCTCGGACCTCCTCAGAGGCTCCAAGAAGAAGCACAGCTGGAAAGAGAACAAAGAGCCGCTTCAGGTAAACCCCAGACTTGCTTTTGATCCAATTTCCTCAACAGCAGGTGTTTTGACGTCCTCAGCTGTTATGTTTTTTTTGTTCATTTGGAAAATGTTCCAACTAGCTAGTTAATGAAACTATTCAAATAATGTACAGGCGACGCTCAAAATTAAATTTCGCGATATAATGAAATTTTCCACTTTATCACGTTATTTGTCCTGTATATTATTGTTTAGTTAAATTCAAAAAGTTTTTAGTTCCAGCACAATAACAGAAGGGGAATATCTCAAAGAAATAAACCCCAACACTTCTCAATTATCGTGGTTAGTGAAACTCAAAGAAAACAACCCTATAACTACCTATGGTGATCCAAGAAAAAAAATCTGCTGGAACTAAAAGCTTTTTGAATTTAACTAAACAATAATATATAATGAGGTTCCATCACAAAAAAGTGCAAACTTTAAAAGAAATATCCTAAAGTTGTTCAACGAAAGACAAACTAAGCAATTTGAAATGAACAGTCATAAAAAAACTTTAATTTTTCTATTACTAGTGTTTTGACATGGATTTTTTAAGACTTTTTGTTTTTTAGTTAATGTTGGTTTAGGTTAAAACATTTCCATGTATTTTATTTGGTACTAACATTTAATTTTTCTGACAAATAAATAGCCAGTATTTTGTGTAAAGGAAACGGATAGGTATTAAACTATCTCAAAATGGTTATTTCCTTCTTTTTCCTTTTTTTATTTATTAGAAAAGCTTTATTCTTTGGTTTTAGGTGTTTTTTCAGGAACTTACAACCATTTCAAAATATCCTTTTATTACATCGATATCGATTTTGGAAGCACCAGCCTCCCCTCTCCAGTCTGGTTTCAATTTTAGAACCGCATCTTTGTTTGCATTACTTCAGTTTTAATTGAATTATGCAACATTCACCCTTCCTTGACAGCATTGCTTTTGTTGTAATAGGGCATACAATTCTAAACTGCCTAACTCCTTGCATAAACTTGGGATGCAAAAAAGTGACCACCTTATTTTATTTTTTGAGTGAAACGTTCAATTAGTATTATTGTACTCATGTTGGTTGTTATAAAGCGCCATGGGGAGTTTGGAAAGTAATGTAGGTGAAATTGTTAATACTAAGTTCTAAATAATAAAAATAAATTCACTTTTTTGTATAGAGAAAGATGAATAGATATATTTATAAATGTCTTATATTGTTACTGTATATTGTATTCATTTTTCATCTTTGATTTTTTGAATTAGTATCTGTATGTGTAGGTATATTTATTTATTAATGACTAATGTAGTTATTGATTTATTTACTCAATATTGGTATTGTCAAAAGTACGACAGGATTTGATGAAATTGCTATTAAAATAATTTTGCTCTCCCTCCCATTCACCATTAAATATATAACATATATTTTTAATTTCTCCTTAACTTCATCAACATTTCCCTCTGCATGGAAGAAAGTTGTTTTCCTAGTTTCATCATCATCATCACCCCTAAATGATTTTCGACATAAGTATTCTACCCTTGTTATAAGTTATAAAGTTCTAAAAATCATTATGTTTAAACAAATTAATAACTTTCTTGATAATCATTCTCTGCTTTCACCTTTTCAATCAGGTTTTTGATATAAACACAACTGTAAATAGGCCTTGCTAAAAATTAGTGAAGATATACGGGGAGTCATAGATATTCACGAAGGCTTGGTTAGTGCTGCTTGACTTACATTGCTTTCAGGATGGTCAACCATGACCTACTATTTGGAAACTTGAAAATTTGCCTTTTTTTTGTCCTCTACTTCTAAATTAATATCCTCTTATTTATCAGGTGGTAAACAAGTTGTCAAACTACCTAATAACAAACTCTCATCTGACTTTGCTGGTAAGTTTGGCATTCCTCAAGGTTAATTTTAGGACCTTTACTGTTTTCAATTTTTTTATTAATGATCTTCCTTCTTGTTTAAATTACTCCAAATTTCACTTAAAAGCTGATGATACCCAAATCTTTGCACAACATCCCCCTCATTTAATCCTTGATTTTTATTTGATTACCTTGAACTGTGATGCCTTATATACTTATTTAAAATTAAAAATAAGTTCTGCCCTCATACTTATTCACCATACTAACTATGCCAAGCTTTTGGTGTTTTATTTCACCTTCCTTAGGGATCTACAACGGATACATATACATATAATATTTTATAATGCTCATCTGTGTAAATGAAAATCAAAAATCAACTTGTTTGTGCAACTTACAGATTCTCTGTTAGTGTTTAAAATTGTTTTCTCTTATCAACATGTATAGATATGTTTTCTCTCTTTTTGTCATTTCTTATACTAAATACAATGTTTTTATAAATAAATAACTTTGTCTGTTGATAATAGTTTGTAACAAGTGTCATTTATTTATTTATTAACTTTCAGGCATGAAGCTTTCAATTTTTTGCAAACAATCCATGATTTGATCAGACTAACGTGATATTGTTGCTATTCTCTTTTTCTTCTCTCTTTTATACTTTTCCTTTACCCCTAATTCTCTCCTTCATGTTCAATTATGTTAATATCAGACAAATTTTGTTTATTAATTATTATTTCTTGTGTTATATTTTGTAACCTTTTTGTTATTTATATTTTTCTACTCACTGTAAATGGCCCAAGTCCTATTGTGAAAAAAATTTTTTTTAATTAATTTTTTTTTAAAATAAATATATTTCTATTTTACATATCTGTGCATATAAATTGGTTGATTGGTCTACTATTGAGAAATTGTAACTATGAACTATGAATTATTAAATAATGAATTACTCAATGGGAAAAGTAAATAGGAAGAAAAAATTATTTCAAAAATAACCTAAAAACCATAAGGATTCTTTCCTCCATATAAAACAGCTAGTCCTGCAATCCAGAGAAATACTTTTGTAATCTTACATTGAAATTGTTCTTGATTGCTACAAACGGCTAGTCATCACACATTGCAAAATAAAGAGTATCATTACTTGGCTCAATTGACACTGTAGATCAACTAGTACTATGGCCTAAGTACAAGAGGCTTTGTTGCTAGTATGTAGATGTGTGATATTGATTTGATTAGCAGTTTTGAGTTGGTTTTATGTTTTTTCTATGTTTTGTAGGCAGTTGATATAGTATTAAGGGGAGGTTTTTCAAGGGACTTTGAGGAAAAAGCCGAAGATTGTGGGTTCGAATCCCGCTCGTGACACTGACTTTTTTTATCTCAACTAAAAACCTTAATTAAATGAAAGATTAATTGGTCAAGTGGACCATGAAAACTAGTGAATTTAATAAGTTAAAATGAAGTATACCTTCACTGAAGCTCTTCGTGACCATTTCATTTGTCGCCGAGCATCAAATAGATTACACGACATTTGAAAAATGGCAAAAAGGAGGGAAAATTCAAAAGGTGGGGTTGAGATGGGAAGTTAGTGTCCGGGTGGATCGAAGTCACGATAGCTCTAGTGGTAGAGCAGTGGTGAATCTAGTCTAATATCGTGGGTTTGAATCCTGCTCGGGCCATTGACTTTTTTATCTCAACTAAAAAACTTAATTAATTGAAAGAACTTCTTACTTGTTTTGAATTTTAATGGTTTGAAGTATATGTTAGATGATGTATATTTCAGATATATATTTCTATCCTGTAGCACAAGGGGAAAAATGTTATTACAATATTTAATTTATTGCAGACATCAAGATGTTCTATTTGTGAGACTTTACTAGTCACAGTGGAGAGTTTTTACTGTGACATGTGCGGAGTGTGTGCCGATGTCCAATGTTTGAAAAAAGCCAACAATACTGTAAAGTGTAAACGTATGTTTACAGAAGTTATCGGTCCTTTAAAACATTCATACATCAAGGGTGAGATTCTGAAAGTCATTGGACTCATTCACCTTGCACTAACAAATTATAATAATCTTAAAGGAAATCTGCCAGTTGGTTCTGAATGTGCCGTTTGCCATGAAGAGTGCGGGCATGACTTCCGGTGCATCTGGTGTCACATGACAGTTCACATAAACTGCAAAAAGATGCTTGCTGAGAAATGTGACACGGGGAAATATAAAAATTTCATCATACCACCATCTAGTGTTGTCCAGACTTTTCACCGGATCAATATCGGCAGAGTGAGTGTAACCCATGAGATTCGAGAACCAGAGTGGAGTCAGAACAGGTGGACACCACTCTTTGTCTTGAGTGAGTAGATGGCATGTTTTAAAATTTAATTTTGTTCTATTGTGTTTTAATAATTAATTTCAAGTCAGCCGAAAATCTGGGAGCAAATTTGGAGGGGAAGTAATTTCCGCATTTAGGGGAATACTGAACCCACTCCAAGTCATTGTACTTGGTGAACAGGATCCGAGTCTTCTATGTCAGTGGCTTGACCTCCTTCCTGAATCTGCACAGCCGATTGTGCTAGTCGGATCTGGTGATGGTGGGATCGCTTGGGTTTTAACTACTTTGCATAAATTACAAAAAAAGGTCTGTCTTTTAAGTCTACTTTCATTTGCGAGGGAAATAATTTATATGACATGCTTGATTGTTTAGAAATATCCTCCTGTAGGTATTATCCCTCTTGGTACTGGAAACGACCTGTCACGTGTTCTAAATTGGGGATCAAAGATCACAACACCATTTTCAGTACAGGAGTACTTAGAACATCTTCAAAAAGCTAAAGAAGGCTATTTAGATAGGTACAAGCACCTTTAGCCTCATTTTAGTGTTAAATGATTATAATAAATATAATTAATTTGTTTATTTAAATGTTTAAGGTGGGAAGTAAATTATAAAGTTTTTAAGAGAAGGGGTCTTTCTTTAAATAGACCACATCAGTATTTTATGTATAATTATCTAAGTATAGGGGTTGATGCTTTAGTTGCTTTAAACTTTCATGAAACGAGGAACAACAGATCTTACCTTTTTGGTTCCCAACTGAGGAATAAGGTATTTTATTTCATGAACTCTTTTAAGTTGTGATAATGATTTGTCATTATATTTACATTGGTTATAATTTACAGCTGATGTATTTAATATTTGGAACCCAACAAGTGTTGGACAGGGAATGCAAAGGGCTTGAGGCGTTCATAGAATTGTATCTCGATGACGAGAGGATCGACATTCCCGAGTTAGAAGCTATTATTGTTCTCAACATACAGCGGTATGGAGGTGGAGTCGATCTCTGGAATCTTTCTTCAGGATGTGATAGCAACCAGTATCCCAGGCAAGCAATAAATGATGAAAAGATTGAAATTGCATCAGCTGCCTCTTCTTTCCAGTTGGCTCAGTTCCAACTGGGTCTTTCAGAACCAACAAAACTGGGCCAAGCAAAAAAAGTCAAGGTAAATTTTGTCTCTTAAGGAGTTGAAATTTATTCTAATTGTGAAATTTTAGCTCGTTTTGAAGAAGCGCATACCAATGCAGATTGATGGTGAACCATGGATGCAGCCTCCTGGGCAAATAGAAATCACGTTTGCTAACCAGGCGAGAGTGCTTTTAAAGGATTAGTATCAACAGTGTTAAGTAATAAATTTAATTTGAACTTGATTCTTTAAGGAAACAGATTTTTTTGTCTTCCAATTTGAATTTCAAGCAAAAAGGTAGTTTACCTATGTAGAATCATGGTTTCACACAATTAATTTCTCATGATTATTTCTCATTCATATTATTCCTCTGAAATTTATCCACCTTTTACATTAGTTCAAACAAAACTGCATGAACTCGTTGTTTTGAATTTTATCAAACATTAAGGTATTGTATTTTATTATTATTATAATTAATAATTTAATATATTACAACAGCACTAAAACAAATTTGCTTTTAAAATTAATTTTCAATTATTGAAATTTTTAAATGGTTGTTATATATTGGATTATGTATTAGGTTGAAAAATTAGTTCCTGCATGACTTACATTTTAATGGTTTACTTTTTTTTGTTATAATTTTCTTAATCGTGCTATGCTTTTAGATTTGCTGACCAAATTATTTATGTGATAACTATTGAAATGTAGAAAATGGATTGTGTTACACAGGTTTTTTGTGCTGTTGACAGTTTTATTAATATGTATTTACAATTTGTATATTATAATTAGTGTTGTGGATGTCTGTGATTTTATTAATGTTATATGAATTGTACAAGTGTACTTATCATTGGAATGGATTAGCCATTGAAATCTTTGTAAATGACTGACTTTGTATAGTGCAGATATGAAGATCATTGTTGATGTTAAGTTAGAAAAATCGAAATAGTATTAGGTCAAAAATAAAGTCAATGCCAAAGTGAAATATACATTCTAGATTTTTATATTCTTGGTTGTCCCCTTAATTTAAAAATTTAAGTTTAATATATTAAAATTCTTGTTTTTAACCTGATATTCAAAGACCTGAGGATAATTTTAGTTAAGTGCCTTGTTATTTTTTTAATTATGATTACTTTCTAATAATGATTAAATTTATTCAACTGTTATGTCTTTGTAATATTAAAAGAACAAGGAAACAACTTATGGGAAGAGGACCGGTCTATTGTACTTGTAAACAACAGCAAATAAATATTTCACATGATGTTTGTCAATTTTATTACCAATTGTAAATCATTTAACTTGTATAAACTATATTCTTTTTTTAGTTAGTCAACAAAATGTTGTTAGCAAATGCTTTTCTATTATACTGAAGAACCAATCCTAAAAATCATCTTCATTCAAATAATTGCTCAAAATACAAGGAAAAAAATATAAAGTGAATGTAATATATATATATAAACTTTTCTGAACACACTTAAAGATGGTGTCGTTCTAATAATAAACATTTTTGCTAAATTGTTTTAATTTAATTAACAATTATATTACATGGTCAAATTTTCTTGGTGTTGCATTCTGAATAACAGCAAATCCCAATTTTATTTTTTTATCTGACCACTGAATATAATGGGGATAAATATAATTTTTGACCCAAGTATTTCATAATAAAGTGAGGTGCTATTCTTGTTTCTATTCAACACGGAACGCGGTATATCTGGGAAATTTTTTTGATCATAGGTGGTTTTATTCAACTCAAAGGATGTCGTGAAAAGGGATTTTCTGAATTGGATTTGTGATTTGGGATTGTTCAATAATGGAAAGGAAGTTAATTGTTATGGCGAGAACGAAGGAATGCTTCAACAAATTATGAAACACCAGGACTCTAAGAAACACACAAAGTTTAATGATTCTATTTTTTGGTCTTACAAAACTGTGATCACGCCTTGAACCAGTCGAAAACTGAACACTTCTTTCACAAATCTATATTTTATATATATATATATATATATATACATACATACATACATAACTGATGCTCTGCTTTTATATGCATACTACATCTCAAGTATACAAGAGAAAAAATGCGCTTCATTGTGCTATATGTGGTGTATTATAATATCCATTTATCTAAAAAATGTAGAAGAATTAGCCTGAAAAGTAAATTCCTTATTGAAATTTTTGAAACAAAAAACTCGATAAACCTTATGAAAATAAATAAGATTTATTAATAAATTTACATGAAAATAAAATAGAACTGGTAACCAGACGGTCCATAATTTGAGTATGAACTAGGTTCAAAACGATCATTAACTAAGCTTTATTTGCAAAAGTAAAAGATTTAAAATTTAGTGACAGACCCTTTATTAGTAATAAAATTAGCAAGGGTTCTTAGCCTGGATCTAATTAAAATTATGTTCAAGATCAAAGGAAAATTTATGTATGTTTAGATTTAGTTTACAATAGTTTTTGTTTGTGTAAAATTACTATTATTACTTAAATAATAACTTTTTCCCTTTGGATATACATAAAATTTAATGTCTGCGTTTTTTCGCCACTTTCACGGCGTCCATGTTAGGCTAAACCCTCGTGACCTGCGGGTCTTACAAAACTGTAATCGCGCCTTGAACCAGTCGAAAACTGAACACTTCTTTCACATATCTATATATATTATACTATACCTGCCTATATTATACCTCAAGGATACAAGGGAAAAAATGCGTTTAATTGTGTTGTATGTGGTGTATTATATTATCTATTTATCTAAAAAGTATATAAAAAAATGTAAACCTGCTTAATTATTGAATCATTATACAAAAAATATAAACATACAAAAATGCCTTAAAAAAAAACTATAAATTAATAAAATAAATGAAAAATTAATAGAGTAATAATAATAGATACAATATCGAACAGGTTAGACAATGAGATGTGCTGAGTAGAAATTTTCTTCAATTGTTGGGAATGAAAATTAATCACAGTAAAATGAAGTCAATAGTTTTCAGCAAACATAGGCCATTCCTGTGTAAAAAGATCCAAATTGAAGGTGCAACTGTCATAGTCTGAGTCGGACCAATTTTTAGGGTGATTGATATTTGACTGTAAACTCACCTTTAGACCCCATGTTAATGTTAGAGGAACGAGGGGAAAGGGCTATCTGTGTACTTTTCCCTCTGCTCTGTTACGGGCGAATAAACTTCTTTTGTACAAGGTGGCCAGGCTGATGCTCTTGGAATCTAACATGCAAGACTAATGTCACCAGGCTGCAGGTTGTGCAGAACAATTTTCTGAGGCGTGTAACAGACTCAGCTCAATATACGGACATATAGCAACTGCATAATGTGACCAACAAGTTGATGGTGCTGGAACACATATGAGATATAACCACTAAAGTTTTTAAGCAATGCAAGACTTGTACCAGTATAATCTGCTGTCAAATTATTACTTTATTAATTTATAATATTGGAACAGAAACCACAGAATGAAATTAATGAAAAATATGTTTGTTGATGAATAATGAAATATAATTTGTCAGTACTAGTCTGATTGGTCATTTTTAACTAGTTTAAGAGTTATGAAAATCAAGTAAAATAGAATAATTAATGTATAAACAGATGTAGATGTGTTGGGTTGTCTGAAGTAATACAGGTTTATGTTTTTAAACATTTTTTTATTAACTAAAATACCCTCTATCACTCTCAATAAAATTCTCCCAATGTGATGGAAACTTCTCTATACCCTCTGAATAGAATTTTGAGCCTTTATTATAACAAATTTTGTAAACGCATTTTATATTGCTTTTAATCAATAAATTGTTTATGCAGTAAACCTTGTACAGGTGTCTGAAAAATTGTAGTTAGTAGGCAAGAGGTCTGGTGAGTTGGGGGAGGGGGCAGAATCTCATAATTAAGATCCAACTGTCTTTGTTTATCCATCCCTAACCAACTGTCTTCATTATGTCACATGTGAGATATGCCATGAAGCCGAGCGTTGTCCTGTTACAGAATTGTAACAGAAAATTATATTATATAGAGGTAATTGAAAGAAAACATGAAAACCTGCATCATTTTCTGGGGCAGCCAATAGATGTAATATTCAGGGTGTGTGATACAATGTGCCCTTTGTTGTTTTGTTTTCCCCATTCTGTACCTTTAGCAAACCGATGAGTCTTAGTTCATCAAGAAATTTGTTTTCATTTTGGTAGCAATGAATATTTGATGAACTGTTACTAATGATTTTCTGACTATTAAATATCTCAATTTGTTGATATGCAATATTCATTTAGAATATTTTTCTTGAAATATTTTTATTTATATTGTTTGAAAATATTGTTCATTATGTGAACACCAAGAAACATAATGCATTTTTGATCATTTATTTATAATGTGCTATACATTTATTCATTGTAGTCAAATTTCTTAAGGCATGCTGAAAGTTACATACTTCATTGGTATCAGCAACCCAGGATTAGACTTAAGCCACCTTTGTGACAAGTGTTAGGCTATGGAGCTGCTTTGTTATGTCAACCCCAACCATAAATAAATGTTTTCTGTGTACTAACTGTTCACTCTGTAGGGCAATGAAATACTTGATATCCTTCTGTCACCAAAACAAACCTGATATCTTTCCAAATTGAGAGTTGTACATTAGGAACTCAATTGCACGAACCATAACACATTTTTTATCTTTTTCATTTATCGATGAGAATACATTAAGGAATAGAGGAGTAAATGGTGGGTTTTCAGACATAAATTCTTTCTAATGGTTTAAAATATCTATTTTAATATCCCCTCATATGAGGCACTTCAGTGTTTTTATTAATTTTTTAAAAAATTCTTTCCTTACTAAAACTCAGTTTTTACCATCTCTTTTTTAAACAAACCATTCATAAATTGCAAACTTAATGAATTAACATTAACACATTCATTTTTCCTTTTTTGGTAGACAGATACAATATCGTTAAGTGTAGTACTTAGTTTTTATTAACAGTTAGTTGGGTCATTTTTTGTCTACAATCCAGTTTTTTATATTAACATAAACCCTATAAATGACAATCAAAAATTTAAAACAACATCAGCAGCTTTATTAAATTGAAATATCCATAATTTATTTTAAACCTAATCATATTAAAATGGAACTGTCTTTTAAATAAATAAATAAAATTTTCTGTTGAGAATAGAAACAAAGACACTCGCCACAAGATATGTTAATGTTTTCAAAGTGTTTTCTAGAGCTTGATGTTACACACAAAGTTTACTCCATTTAATTACCTACTTTTGATTTTATCTTACAAGATACAAATTTGGTGACGAATTTTTAGTGTATACTGTGTTACTGATTTTTCATTTTGTGCCGTGAATTAAAATAGTTTTGTAGATAAATGAAAGGAAGAAAGAATTAAGGAAAGATTCACTCCCTCAACCAGCATGGTCATGTTTTTAGGAAGTCCGCTAGAATGCTAAGAGCTCCTATTTAGTCACAAGCCTTGATTAGTATTTGACAAATTCAGAAGGGCTTTGAGCAAATAATTTGACTACTTTTAAAAGCTATTGATTCTAACTGCCTTCTTTATTTATTTTCTTTAAAGACAAGGATTTTTTATTTTTAAAATCTTGTAAATAAAAGGTATTAACTACACATGTTTTATTTTCAATCTTTTTATGGGTATTATGATTTCAGTCAAAAAGCTTGTCAATAATTAGAAACATTTTTTTCTGAGGCAGATTGTAATTTAAAATCCAAGAAAATATTTTGACATTTCCTAAATCGATAAAAGAATGGAGCCCTTAGTTTTCATTTCCCCCCCAAAGATTTGCCTAAAATTTACCTAGCTCATTTTATTTTATTCTACTTTCTACAAGGGTGCACTACAAAAAATAGTAAAAATTACACTGCATATCTTCTTTATTATTTAAATCTTAAGCTAATTTTCTTAAATATGTATATTTAGTTTTGTAATTATTGATTATATGTAAAGGTGTTAAGTGAGGAAGAGATTTTTTTAATTCATAAGACTACCTAAGATGCTTGTGATTTGACAAAAAATTATTTTACCTTCTTTTTTATTAGCACCATAGCGCTATATTACTTGATAAGTATTCCTCTATGATAAGCACATGTTTGCTATCCTGATTATATTAACAATTTCAAAGCAAGTTATCTTTCAAATTTCCAGAAGATATGTTACAGCAGGAAATAACAAATGCACTGTTATTTTTGATGTAAGAAGTATTTTTGTTTTAGTTAAGAATTAAAACAATAAAAATTTCTAAACATAAAGGGTGGCACACTTCTTAGTTGTTGAAATTGCTCTATAAAAATGCTTCATAATTTAAAATGTAATGTCAGCTGTTTATTTGTAAAGTTTGCATTGTGACTTTAACGTTTCAATTATTATATATTATATAACTATAATAATACCACAACAATTTTAATTATTTCCACATTACAGTTTTCATTTGTACTATTATATATTATATAACAATAATAATACCACAACAATTTTAATTATTTGCACGTTACAGTTTTCATTTGTACATATATGTACGCATTTTTTCATGTAAAAATGTTTTTAATGTGAAGTGCATAAATTGTGGTTAACTCTTTTTTATTACTTACAATGTATTTGAACTGCAATTTTGTTTCAGTTTACCACCCTTTAATTACATTTAATTTCCTAGTTTCTTGTATTTTTTCGTTTATTTTTACATTATCTCAATAAACTATTCTTAAATATCACATCATCAAGACAAAGGTCACAAAACAAAAATTAACAACTGACCTTGTGACATTGACTAATTTCTCAATCATTTAATCCCTTGGTTTTTACTTTCTTGCAAAAACAAATGTATACTCTTGCTCACACCTTTTTTTCCTTAATTAATTGTTTGGAAGCCGTTGTTAAAGAGATTTTTTAATCTCTTCTGCTTTTTTAAATTTTAGTTTGCTGAAATTTTTCAAAAAATATACCTAAATCTATCTATTTTTAACATAAAAAGTATAAAAAATAAATTAAACATAAATTCCCCTGCTAAGAAAATACAAAAGTGTTCAGTTATCACCTAATCCTGGACTACAATGGTATGTATTTGTTTAATTTTTTTGCAAACATTTTATGAAGTGGAAAGTACAAAAAGCTAAGTTTCATTTTTGGGGCTTTGTTCATAACAGAAAATCATTTAAAAAATGTGATGTTACCTTTCCGTTGAGTCACACGCCGATTTATTTTCTTTATTTTGAAATTTTATTAAAACATTTTAAATAATTATTTAGAATATTTACATTTATAAGTTTGTCCTATTTAGAGGGTAGGGTGTAAGAAATTATTTTTTAATTCACATTTAAATTTAAGTAGTAGGGTTAAACTATGTAAATTCAATGTTTTTATATGGTTCTCATAGCACAACCATAAATGCCATTGTGTAGGCCTTTTCTTAAATTATTCGTGCCGAGGGAAAGAAAGCATAAGCAAGGACGGATTTCACTCTGATTTCTTAGAAGTATAGACACAAGATAATCTAAACACATCTAACTGAAAAACAATACACTAAACCAGCCTATATATATATATATATATATATATATATATATAATTTTAAAAGTTCCCTTACCAATGAAAGCCCTGGTAAATTTAAATTAAGTTGTATTTGTGTGTGACCATTGGGAAGTTTCAAGTTGTCATTGGAAGTAGAGACAGTGTGGACTTAAGGCACATGAAAAAAGAAATACTTAATATTGTTTGGTACTTGAACACTACAGCATGTGATAACAAGTTGAATTATAATAATATATTTATAATTATAATTAAAAATTATATTGTAATTATAATTATTTTTATTTCAAGTTGAAAGAAATTGCTATTTTAACAGAATACAAGGGGATTTATCAAGCTGTATACCTGATTAGGCAAGCTAGTCAATCTATATCTATCATGTAAGATTTTTGGCAAAAGTGGTAGGAATTGCTACAAGTCACAATTAGAATCATTTCATTTTGCATTGTTATGCTTTACGTGATATACCAAAATGGCTTTAATGTAAAAATTGTTCAATAATGTCATACTAGCTACAAGAATAATTGCTAAAAAAAATTATACTTTCTTTTTTTCTGTTTGTGGCAGTGAATCATTATGATCAAGAGATTAAACTCTGCTGTTGGGACCAACCAGCCAGAACTAAATTACTGCTTATATCTACAGGTTAGTTGCTGAATCTTGAGATACAAGATATACAATTTTAAACTATGTAAATGGTTACTGGAAGTTGTTAATACAAGATTTTGGCAAAATGTCAACAGTAGAGAGATTGATAATTGTAAAATGCAGAAAAATGTTAGTTCACTGTCTGGCAATGGCTAAAAATGAGCAATTGGGTTTAATACCCAGGCCATATAAGCATGAAAACCAAGAAAATGGATATTATCACCGGGTATGGATTTTTCTATTGTTTCTTAAATACACAACTTTTTAAAACATATCAATAATAGAAGACGTCAAAGGATTTATGATAACTACATATGAATAAGAGCTATGAGTGATTTTGAAGACTTGCAAGTGTATTTTTTCGCTTACTAGGGTTATTGTTAAAAATATATTTGGAGATTTTGTTGGAACCCACTAATGATATTTTTTGAAAGTAGAACAAACTTGTAACAGATTTGATAAGCTAATTAGATTTTTAAATATTTGAATTATTGTTTCTGTTAATTTTTTTATTGAGTTTTCTTTTCATTTTTTCATTTGTGTTTTTGTTTATTTATTTTTTAACTATTGATATGTTTAAATTTTCAGCTAATTAATTTCCTTTGTAAAATCCCAAAACTAGTTTGGCTTGAGTTATTGGATTTATTTAAGAACAAGTTAAATTTACACAATATTTTTATAGTTTTGTTCTTAAATTTGAAACAATTGTTGTATTATAGTAATGGCACTAATAGAAAGCATATATTTCATCCATGAGTAATTGACTTGCTTATACAAAACACTTTTCAAGGAAGATCGCAATGAAAGTAAAAAATAAATATTGTTATTAAAATAGGGATGTAAATAAACTACCATTTTTAAGAGAATTTAACTTGTTACCCAGTAAATGAAGGGACAAACTCGGGAGGTAATTATCACAGATGATACGGCAGTATGACTCAAAGGAATGGATAAAAAATGTTTTAGTCTTCTTCTTTGACTTCTTTCTCTGTTTTATCCTTTTCCTCTTCTATAATTTCATGTTTTTCTGGAACTTTAGGATAAATGACTGCCCTGGCAGTAGGGTAACTTCTGATGAAGCCCAGTTTATTGTACAGGCTAAGAGAAGCATCGTTTTCCGGACGTATAACTACAAATGGTATGTATCCCCTAGAACGGACTTTTCGTGTTAATGCACTAGCGAGACGTATTCCGAATCCCTTCCGCCTGTATTCTGGACGTGTCTGCATCGAAAACATGGCACCATAATATGATTGGACCATCCATGCTGCAAGATCTCCTTTTTCACCTGATGTGAAGACGCCATACGCTGGAAGAATGCGGATCAACCTTTCGAATACTTCAACACATTCCATATCATTTGCAGGATACAGGTCGTGTATCGCTTTTGCGTTTTCTTCTTTCAGCTCGAGCACCTCATATTCATCAGCTTGTAAACTAAAATATCAATTCTTATATATAAAAGTGACATAAAAACAAGAGTATGTAAGCCAAATAAATAATTCTTACTCTTCGAGTACAAGCTCTTCCGGAGGAGGATCTGTTTGCACATAAATATCTCCATCGATTTTATCAACTTTTCCAACAGATTCAAAATTTCCAATAGCTTTGACGACATCGATATGGGTGAAATTGAGGTAAATCGGCTGTGTCCAATCAATCAAGACATCTTCAGTTCTCAGAAGTTCCATACAATCCAGCCTCTCGACAGGGCAAAACACTGAGAAACTTTCATACATCTGATTGTTTGGCTAAAACAAAGACAATATAACAGTAGATGATTAAATAAATAAATAACACGGCAATTAATATGTGGCTTGATCATTCCCAGTCAGACTTTTCTGCTGTCTCTCAGATACACTTTGATTTTTGGGAACCCATGGTGAACAGGGCCGATGAAGCTACAGGTCCATCACATTGCAGACCTTTGCATGGCATTTCACAAATCAAGCCGTAACAAGTGTTGAATTACTCACAATTCTATAATATTTCAAATAATTCAATTACAGTCAAATCCTTCTTGCCATTATACCAATTATTGTAATATTTAATATAATTACAAATTAAGATTTAAATACACTTTTTTAATCACTAAGCTTTAAAATAATGGCGTTATTTAGTTTTCTTCTATGTTCTAAAGCAGAGCTCAAAATTTCTTGCCTTTAAACGATTTATGGATTTATTAGTAATAATTTATTAAATTCCGATTATACTATTTTTTCATGATCGTACAACTCAAAATTACAGCACATACTTTTGAAACCGTGATATATGTATATATAAATTAAAATAATAATAATAATATTAAGTCCAGTGCAGCCAATTATATTGCAAAATGAGACAGTCCATTTTAACTTTGTAGTAAAGAATATAATGAAGGTGGTCGAAAACTCGGGAGGTGGAGTGTAATAAGGGTAGTTAGAAAGACGGGAAGGGGTGGCCACGCTTTGTTTTCGTGACTGGTTATCAGATGGCACTGAGGCCAATGCGGCTCTTTCGGCGCCACAAACTCTGTCAAACGCCGCCCCGACTGTGCAGAAGAATCTGCAGCCGATTAACATCTACAAAAAAGAGTTTCAGGCGTTTCTCATTCTCCGAGAATAAATAGGCCAACAAGTGCACACAATCTCAAAAAGTTTCAATTAAATCCCTTAGCATTTGTGAACTAGCCCCAGCTAATTGCCAAGTTAGTTCTTCAAACGTTTTTTTGTAGTGAGATTTTCGGACTCAAGGATATGTATAGATATGTGTCTTGGGAATAGAGACCATTATAGAATAATTATAGAACAGCAAATCATGATTTCTAACATTATACATTCAATTAATTAAGGTTTTTTGATTAATTGGTCAAGCGGACCACGAAAACTAGTGAATATGCATTCAATTATATGTATACAATGTGTATTTCTTAATGACCAGTTTTTTCATAATTTTTTGAAGTCGTGAGGAAAGGCCAAGAATGAGGTAGTTTACAGACACGTTTTCATTTTTTTGCCAAAGAACCGACCTTTATTCGGGTCATGTACAAATTATGGTAGTATGTAAATTTCGCTTACCGCCTTTGTAAAAGAGGGAGAGTGCGTTGTAACGATTGGGGGTACTGATGATTTGTCAAGATCACCAGCTGTGATAATTAAGCTTTATTTTCTAGACTTCAATAATAATATCTCGTTGAATCGAAACAGTTAAGAGCGATGTCGAGTGTTTGTTTAAACGGATCGACGGGCTTTTCTGTATGATTGAAACACGTCGATATAGTCGAAAACGATGGATAAGAAACAACTTTGCGAAATCCTTTTCAAGTGGCTCCAGAGTTTCAATGTGGAGAAAAAGTTTGGTACGATCAAAGACTTGAACGACGGGGTCGCCATAGCCCAAGTGTTGAATCAAATCGCCCCGGAATGGTTTCCGCCCGTTTGGCTCTCCAAAATCAAGACAATTGGAGACTGAACGTCTCCAACTTAAAGAAGGTGCTTTCCAAGATCCTCGACTACTACCAGGAATGCTTCGGTCAGAACCTCAACCCGAGCGTACTTCCGGACGTGGTGAAAATAGGCGACGTCTGCGATTCCCAGGAGCTGGGCAGGCTCCTCCAACTCGTACTCGGATGCGCCGTTAACTGTGATAACAAACAAGTGGGTGTCTTTTTCAGAATTAACTCCTCACATTTTTCCTCCTTTACGATCTTATATATTTTCCTAGTAAATAGTTTTCTATTATTGACTAGAAAGACTTCACTGTCAGCATAGTCCGGAATATACATATTCTATACTGAAATACAATTATGGCCATCTCAATATTTTTAGACACATCGACTGTTTTGACGTCTTAAACGCCCTAAATGCCTGCGAATATTCAGACGGGAATGATCGTAGACGACTAAACTGAGGTACATCATCTCACGAACCAAACAAAGGTACATAATTTCGCAGACCTCAACTGAATGTATCATAATCTACTTGGAGCAAAATATGACAAAACGAAAATAAAACAGGCATAAATTGCTGGAGTCGCACAAGTCACATTGTTTATATTATTAGATAATGCTAATGCCTTGCCTAGTCTTGTGATTGTTTTGTTTATGTCTTACACTTTATAGCGGATGGTTGATAAAGAACAAACAACACAGTTTTTCACAACGTATACAAGAATAAGAACTATATACTGAACTGGTTTGAGTTCAAAATTTATATTTACATCTTGAATTGTATTTTTTCCATTCAACATATGTTTTATATTATCTTTTTCAAGCCCTGAAGATGACCCAAATAAAGGTCGAAACGACGATAAAAATGAAAAAGAGGACATCAATCATCTCACGACTTCAACAAATTATGAAACAACAGGCCACTAAGAAACACACGTAAAGTTTAATTATCGTAAGTTTTTCTTTCGCCACTTTCACGGCGTCCATGTTAGGCTAAACCTTCGTGACCTACGGGTCTTGCAAAACTGTAAGCGCTCCTTGAACCAGTAAAAAACTGCATACTTCTTTCACAAATCTATATAATTTGTCAAATCATAAAAAAAATATATATATATATTTTTTTTTTCTGACTCTCTGCTTTTGTATGTATACTACATCTCAAGTATACAAGAGAAAAAATGCGCTTAATTGTGTTATATGTGGTGTATTACCTATTTACCTAAAAAGTCTATAATAGGACAAAAATGAAAAAGGTGTTTTTCTAAACTTCCTCATTCTTGACCGCTCCTCACGACTTCAACAAATTATATGTATACACTTTTCAAAGCAGAAAATGAAAAAGTTCTACGGTTTAATAGCTAATTACCAACCATAAACAATCGGTACATTTATTTTAAACAATTTGTTATAGCTGACGATGATTTAAATTAACGATGTATCATATTTGGTAAACTTTACTTTGTTAAATCCTCCTTGCAGAGTTAGTCCGGTCATTGACCGCTGTTTGATATAAGAATGGAATAAATATCTTACATATAAATATATCTGTTTGCGACATGATGTCAATTTATATTTATGAATAACGTTACAAAGTGGTGAGATGAAACTGGGCAATGGTCGACGTCCACGGTCCACCTTTTACTCTTCATTTGCCCACGTGTTGTTTGATGTTATGTAGGCACGTGGGAGGTGGTTATGGTGGTTGAGAGATCGCTGGGGCCACGTGATCGCTCGATAGCCAAGGACGAATTCTCCCACTTCCGACCTACGAGGAAAGCCAGGCCCGGGGCCGCCCCCGTCTACTCACCGTCCTCATACATGATTTTATCGTTTCATTATTATTTCATCATCCATAGAATTCTTGTTTAAAACGACAACAAATTTTGTTTTTAACCGGAACCTTTAACCGTTCTTTATACATTTTCCATAAAAAATTTTTTGCACGAAACATGCATTTTGGATGCTTTTATGTACAACCTACGCTAGGCCTCATTTTTTTAGAAAATTTTACGCTGAACAGGATGGTTTTTAATAAATGTTTTCCTATCTTCAGTCATTCATCATTAAATTCAAAACTTGAGGAACACGCCAATTTTGCACTCGAAAACTTCAAATTGGGCTGTGGAACCAGGAAATCGTCCTATAGCGGCGCCCTACAACTCGCGATAGTAAATTTTAATAAGCTTAAATAGATCACCTTCCACTTGGCCAGATTTCTCAACCATTTTAGGGTTATTCACGATTTTTGGGCAAAAAACGTAATTTTTTACATGCTCATTGAAAAATCCGATCACTCTCCCGATTTTCGGAAATGCATAAATTTGAACTGTCATGTTTTACTAAAACTTTTGTTCCGAGGTTATTGTTTTTCAAAAAACAACTTTGAGTTTCGAGATGCAGAATGCTTCTGCTGTCGATAACCACTTGTTTATCTCATCACGGAAATTCAACTTTACCTTCCCATTTCACAGGCGTTGAGGCAGTTTGGCTTTGAGTAATGAATTGAAACAATAGGTTTTTGTATGGTAAAATCGGGAGAAAGAGTGATCGGTTTTTTCCATGAGCACTTAAACAACCACGTTTTTGCACAAAAATCGCTAATAACTGGAAAACGGTTGAGAAATCGGGCAAAGTGAAACATGAGAAATAGAAGGCTTATTAAATTTCCTATCAATGGCTACAAGGCGCTGCTCCAGGACGATTTCCTGGCAGTACAGCTCAATTTGAAGTTTTCAGAATAAGTGCAAAAATTAGCATGATCCCGAATTTTTAAATTTCCTGACAAATGACGGTAACTAGGAAAACGTTTAAAATATACACCTTATACAGCATAAAATTTTCGAAAAAATGAGACTTAGCGCAAGTCTGTGGCTTAAAAGGCTGAGGAAAGTTGCATTTCCGAAGTTGGCCATTTTTAGTACAAAAACCAAGTGGACTTTTTTTTCTATAGTTTATATCACGTAGAAAAACTTCTGAGTGGTCTACGGTTGTTGTGAAGTCGGCGATAAAAAATGAAGGGACTTTGCCGGTGTATTAAGCCATCGTCAATTTTTTAAAACTTTGCTGTTTGATTAAGTTTTTTTGTTTCTTTCTTAAAAGCCTCATAACAAATTTAAGTCTTTCAAAATCCTGACATTTCAACAACGCTATTTAATGAAGAAAACCACCTACTTTAAAAACTCAAAAATGTTAATGTGTGGAGGTCCAGAAACTATTATAATAGGAAAATCGGCCTCTTCGGTTTCTTCGACCCCTAAAACAAATCAAACACAAGTTTGTATAACTAATGTTTAGTGTTCGATAATGATTTTGATTAAGCGAATT